CAATGTATCACAATTCTCCTTATTTCCATTTTGGTTGTTCTGTTTCCAATGATCTAGCTTCCCTGTTCTCCCTTGCCTTCTCTTCTTTTGTCCAAAATAAGTGTTAACCATTTGTTTTCATTTACACGACTATTTTGAGGAGCACAAGTACTCACAGGTGCTGTCTTAGTTATCTAGTGCTGCTATAACCGAAATGCCAAGAGTGGAGAGCTTGAAAAGAGAAATTTACTCTCTCACGGTCTAGGAGCCTACGAGTACAAATTCAGGGTGCCTACTCCAGGGGAAGGCTTTCTCTCTCTGTCGGCTCTAGGGGAAGGTCCTTGTCATCACTCTTCCCCTGCTCTAGGAGCTTCTCAGCAAAGGGAACTCAGGTCCAAATAACGCACACTCCTGGCTCTTGTTTCTTGGTGCTATGAGGTTGCCTGTCTCTCTGCTCTCTTCTCTCTTTTATATCTCAAAAGAGGTTGACTTAAAACACAACCTAATCTTGTATATTGTGTCCTACCTCATTAACATAAGTGCCGTTAATCCTGCCTCATTAGCATCATAGATGTAGGATTTACAACAGTTAGGAAAACCAAATCAGATGACAAAATGGTGGACAATTATGCAATACTGGGAATCATGGCCTAGCCAAGTTGACACACATTTTTAGGAGACACAATTCAGCCCATAACAGGTGGTATTATTTATTTTATGGGCCAACATGTCATTTGGCTGAAAGCTGACCTTTCGGAGTGGCTTCAGTTCCAAGTTTAAAGAGCATTTCAGGGCGATAGGCTCGGGGGTTCATCTAGTCTCTTCCAGTCCAATAAGTTTTACCTTTTTTTAGGAATTTCAGTTTTGTTCTACATTTTTCTCCCATTCTATCTGGGATCATCTATTTAGTCCCTGGTCAGAACAGTTATTAGTGGTAACTGGGCACCATCTAGTTCTTCTGGTTTTCAGGTAGATGATGTCATTATTCGTGTAGACTATTGTTTCTGTAGAATAGATTCTTCTTTGAGTCTTTGGTTTCTCTCATTCTCTGTAGCTCCAGATGAGTAGAGACCAATAGTTGTATCTTAAATGCCTGCTCACAAGCTTTTAAGACCTCTGATGCTACTAACCAAACTAGGATGTAGAACATTGTCTTTATGAGTTATTTTATGTTAATTAACTGAGTTGTCCAACAAGATTATGGTCCTAAACCCTCAAATCCAGTAGCGCAATTCCATGAGGTGTTTGGTTGTGGCTGGGAAGTGTCTGTAAGTGTCCCCAATGTGCTTTATACCAAAAGAATCAAGGACGTAAATATTGGAAACCCAAAATCAACAAAGATCATAGAACAAAAAATAGGATCAATGCTACAAGCCCTAATACACAGCATTAACAGGATACAAACCATAACTATCAACACACAAACTCCAGAAGATAAGCAAGATAACTAGGATCGTCTAAAAATGAAATACTTATGCTCATCAAAAAGACTTCGTCAAAAAGTTAAAAAGAGAACCTAATGACTGGGGAAAAAATTGTGGCTGTGACAAATCCAACAAAGCTCTAAAACCTAAAATCTACAGGAAAATCCAACACCTCTAAACAAAAGGACAAATAATCCAGTTAAAAAAATGGGCAAAGAATATGAACAGACTCATTACCAAAGAAGACATTCAACAGGCTAACAGACACATGAGGAAATGCTCGAGATCACTGGCCATTAGAGAAATACAAACCAAAACCACAATGAAATATCATCTCACCCTGACTTTACTGGCACAAATTTAACAAAAAAGAAAATAACAAATGTTGGAGAAGTTGTGGGGAGATTGCAACTCTTATGCACTGCTGGCGGAAATGCAAAATGGTACAATCACTTTGGAAAACGATATGGCACTTCCTTCAAAAGCTAGAAATAGAAATGCCATATAATCCAGCAATCCCACTCCTAGGAATATATCCTAGAGAAATAAGAAACATCACAAGAATATACATATTCACACCCATGTTCGTTGCAGCATTGTTCACAATAGCAGAAAGATGGAAACAACCTAGATGCCCATCAATAGGTGAATGGATAAACAATCTATGGTACATACACACAATGGAATACTACACAATGATAAAGAACAATGATAGATCTGGGAAGCATCTAACAACATGGATAAAATAAGTCAATCACAAAAGGACAAGTTTTGTATGAGACCACTGCTATAAAAACTCATGAAAAGGTTTACACACAGAAATAAACGATCTTTTATGGTTACAAGGGGAGGGGAGGGAAAAACACTAAATAAACAATAGATAAGTGGTAACTTTGGTGAAAGGTAAGACAGTACACAATACTGGGGAAGCCAGCACAACTTGTCCACGCTAAAGTCATGGAAGCTCCATAGATACATCCAAACTCCCTGAGGGTTTGAATTACTGGACTGAGGGAAGTGGGAACCATGGTCTTGGGGATCATGTAGCTCAATTGCATAACACAGTTTATAAAGAAAATGTTCTGCATTCTACTTTGGTGAGTAGCGTCTGGGGTCTTAAAAGCTTGTGAGTGGCCATCTATGATACTCCGTTGGTCTCACCCAGTCTGGAGCAAGGGAGAATGAAGAAAACCAAAGACACAAGGGAAAGATTAGTCCAAAGAACTAATGGACCACAAGTACTACAGCCTCCACCAGCCTGAGTCCAGCACAACTAGATGGAGCCCGGCTACTGCCACTGACTGCTCTAACACGGATCACAATCTATTGGTCCTGGACAGAGCTGGAGAAAAATGGAGAACAAAATTCTAAAACACACATACACACAAAGACTAGACTTACTTTCCTGACCTGACAGAGACTGGAGAAACTCTGAGAGTATGGCTCCCAGACACCCTTTTAGCTCAGTAATAAAGTCACTCTTGAGATTCACACTTTAGCCAAAGATTCGACAGGCCCATAAAACAAAATGAGACTAAATGGGCACACCAGCCCAGAGGCAAGGACGAGAAGGCAGGATGGGACAGGAAAGCTGGTAATAGGGAACCTAAGATCCAGAAGAGGAGAGTGTTGACATGTCAGGGGGTTGGCAACCAATGTCACAAAACAATACATGTAGTAATTGTTTAATGAGAAGCTAGTTTGTCCCGCAAACCTTCATCTAAAGTACTATAAAAAAAAAGACAATATATGCAGCACACACAAACATGTATATACATATGCTTATAGTTATTCATATCCACCTTCCTGCACTTATTTATGCATACTTACATATCTGTGTAACCACACACACATTTTTAGTTATTGTTACTGTTGTTGTAAAATTGTATATCACCCAATGATTCTCTTTTTACAAATTTCCCCATAAACTGTTCATTGACATTAGTTACATTTATCATAATTGGTCAATGTTCTCTTTAACTGTGTCTATACTTTTGTATTTGTGCTCAAACTTTCATCTTTACTGCGGTAGTTCTGTGCTCACTATTTCTACACTCTGAACCACATTTCCTGTCACCGAAAGTGACAAGTATCTAAGTTCTAAAGTGTACTTACCCCTACGCCCCCTTTTCAGTCTGGTAACCAGCAACTAATACTGGCCTCTTTATATTTATCTGTTCTTGTCCTCTACCATATTTGTCATTTTATGTTTGACTCATTTCACTTAGCATTATGCCCTCTAGCGACCTCCACCTTCAAGCTCATTCTTTCACAATTCTCTTTTTCTTTCATGCCGTTCCTTCCTAGGATAAACAGTGGGTTCAGAAACTGGGCTCTGCAACATTAGCTGTGTGACCTTAAGCCAGTCACAGAGCCTCTTCCTCATATGGAGGATAGGACAAGGAGATGTATGCTTCAATAGAATTGGTAAAGTATGCAGCATACAAATAGACAACATATTTAATTTTTTTCTAAGAGAAAATGGGAGAGATCAGATTTATATATTGAAAACATAAATCCCAACATGACAAGGTTTTTGCTATAATATTTTTCTTTTTTTTTAAAGAAAAAACAGGCCTTCTTTTGTAAAGGGAAACCTTTATTACACAACTGAGCAAACAAAGAACCTTGATATTACACTTGGTAATCCATTCCGTAGCCAAGAATATTGCTGTGTAATTTTAATCATAATCTGTATGAATCCCAGAATATTTGTAGAGAACAAGAAAAATATCTTATGTGGAAAATAGCATACCTTCCACTGATCATTTCAATTTTATTAATGACAATGCATCATTTGACCAATGCAATAAAATAGAGGCATTCCAAAGAACTTCCTACAATTTTCAGCATAGGTGTGGTTTCTGTAAGGTGAGTAGAAGAGAGTAGAATGTAAGCTATCCTCACACATCATCTAAGATATTCCACATCATTCCACAAGGTATTCAGTAACATTCCAGCTGTGAGGCTGAAAATCTAGAACAAAAACTATTACAAAAAGAAACCTGAAAATTCCTGGAAATTTTTACAACTGTAGCATGTCTGCAATTCTTGTCACCTGCTTCTTTTCTTAATGCAATCATAAGTAATAAAACCCTTGAAACAGGAAAGGCAATACAAATTATTTCTGAGAAAGCAAGAAAGAGATGAAGTGGTCAGACAGCATCTCACTCTGCAGCTCAGCTTAGGTGGGAAAGACACGGACTCACATAAATAATAGGCATTGCTATCTTTACACAGAAAGGAAATCAGTCAAATGTCTCCATCTGATATGAGGAATAACAATCAGGTTGGGCCATCTTGGAACTGGCATGACCTTGGAGTCAAAGAATAGGTCAACATGGTAATGGTGCATGATGAGAAAAGACATTAGAGTAAAAATCCCTCCAAGAATACTTTAGAAAGAAGATGAAGAGAAGAAAAAGAAGAACAGGAGGAAGTAGATGAGGAGGAGAAAACAACACAGCAACAGAGGCAGGGAGTAAGGCAGTGTTTCTCCTTCTGCTCAGTTTTAATCTTCACAGCAAGTTTGACATCCCTGTTTCTGAGGCTATAGATGAGAGGATTCAGCATGGGTACCACATTGGTACAAAACAATCAGAAAAATTTTCCCTGGTCCACAGACCCAGTAGATGATGGCTTCACATGAGTGAGCATTTGAAATCCATAGAACAGACCAACAGTTATTATGTGGGAGCCACAGGTGCTGAAGGCTTTGGACCAACCCTTAGATGATGACATGTGAAGGACATTGAAAAGAATCAAAGCATAAGAGAGAAAGATAATGAGGCTAGATGCTATGACAACTGTGCCTACAATAATGGAAACCACAAGATCATAGGTGCTGCTGCAGGAGAGCTGGAGGAAGGGGAAGGTGTCACACATGTAACGGTTGAGGATGTTGGAGTCACAGAAGATCAACCTGATCATACACCTTGTGTGCACCATAGAGCCAGCAAAACCCACCATATACGAACCAAACATCAACAGGGAACAGACCTTAGAGGACATGGTGACCGTGTAGAGCAAGGGCTTGCAGATGGCCACATAGTGATCATACGTCATAGCTGTCAACACATAGTGCTCTGAGTTGACAAAGAAAAAGTAGAAAAATAGCGGAGTCATGCATTCTGCAAAGGAAATAATATTTCTTTCTGAAATATAGCTCATCAGCATTTTGGGAGTAATGACAAATGAATGGCAGAGATCAATAAAGGACACATTGAAGAGGAAAAAGTACATGGGGGTGTGAAGGTGAGAATTCAGACAAATCAGATTAATTAAGCTTAAATTCCCCATCACAGTGACCACATAGTTCACCAACAACAGAAAAAACAGAGGCAGCTGGAGCTCAGGTTTGTCTGTTAACTCATAAGGATAAATTCAATCAGTGAAGAGTCATTTTCACAGCCATTCACTTCACCAGTGTGATCTGTGGGAACAGAGGTAGAAGGTGACATTAGCAATTAACTCTTTTTTTTTTTTACTTTTTTTTTTAATTGTACTTCAGGTGAAGGCTTACAGAACAAATAGTTTTTCATGAAACAGTAGTACACATATTGTTTTATGACATTGGTTAACAACGCCACAACATGTCAACACTCTAACTTCTCAACCTTTTTTTTGGTGAAAATACACATAGCCAAAGA